ATAATGCTGTAGTTAACTAAATGCCTGTAACTTTCTCCATAAGCCAAATAAGTCTGTATTATTAATAAACAGCTCATTTGCTGAGACTTAAAAAAACTCCTCTATATTCTCAATGCTCAGGTGAAAAGGGGAGAGATGAAGAGACATTTTTAGACACTTCAGGGTGTAGAAATTATATCACAAGCTTCTTTCTTAATTTCATAATACTTTTCTGCAGTCTGCACTCTGACTAATATGCAGCTTAAATTGTGTAAAAACAAATTGACATTATTTAAGAGACACAGATTTCTCTGGAGAAATACCAGTTTTTCCTACATGTATCTCTCCTGGTGTTAGTAGAACAGCAGAAGCACACAGATGCCCCAGTAAGAATTTGCTCATAGACCTAAAAAGTCTTTTGATAGTGACACATACACATTTTAATTAAGTAAAGAAGACAAGACTTCAAACTGATTTGTGTGGTAGATGATACAGCAAAACCAAGCCAGGTTCTTCTCAAATCCAAATTACCTTTGAATCTGATAACAACAGAAGTAAAATCTTCCTGATGCAAGCGAAAAAGATAGAGAGAGCATTTGGGAAAGAATGTAATGCAGATTCAATAACTCTTATTTTCTATCAAAATCAGATATGAAAGTGACTATAGAATTTTTGTGTGCCTATGTCAAATTTTGTCAATGCCAAATAAGCTGAAACTACGAATTCTTAAAAAGATGCCTCAAGTAACTTGCGGTATTTATCTTGTCACAGGCAGCATTTTCAGGTGGAGGTAGTACTGGTTTGCTGTAGTGGCTGCGCTTATTCAGCCCGAGATGAAGTACAAGAGATGTTATTTATAGTAACTCCTTCCATTAAACTTGAAGCTTGGACTCTGTGCCACAGAGGAGCATCCAGGAGTCTAGAGAGTTCAGATTACTCCAACTGCTCAGACACCAGTCTGGCCTTCATTTCATAATCAATAATGATCCATCCCTCATTTTTATTGCTACCTAAGCATAACTACTAAATAGATACTGTGGGAGATACACACCACTGTTACTAAAACATCTTTGTTCAACATCCTGTTCGTGGCACAGCAAGACTCTTTTTTTTCTCATTCTTTGATAAAAAAAAGATTTTGAAAATATTTGCTATATTGAATGATGAAGTGGATTTTCCCTTAAAACCCTGGAAATGCTTTCAGGAAACATCATGCAGCTAGGTTACAGACTGTCTTTTCTCTTGCTTGTTTTCTAATTGCATATAGCTTGCAGCCAAAAACTTGGTAGATCTGAACACACAGAGCCTCTGAAAGATGTGATCTGAGCTTGAAATTGAATTAGATTGCAAATTTTGCATATTTTTTTGTTTTCATATCACAAAACTTTGAAGCCAAACATACTGACCTTGAGAACATTATATGGCCCAAACTCATCTCCTATAAAACCCTAGAATTTACAATCTGTTACAAAGAGAGCAGAAGAGTCTCTTGGTATTGATACTATTTAGTATCAGGATTAATTATTCACTAATTAATTACATTTGGTTCAAATTATTTGTTTTTGCTTTCTGTTCCTCATTTGTTTGCATACCTGTGCCAGCTGGTCATACAGATTGCATAGGATTGGTTTTCTTCATTTGGATTGCTTGATGCTTTTAAAACAGGAAAATTATAAGCAAAACAATTCGGGCTTTGAATTTTATGATACACAGTTCTTTGAACTAAAATTTGTAATACTCTGGGGGTTCTGTTAAGACATAAAAACTAATTTGTACTTCTGAATAGTTGGGGTAGTAAATAATGCAGTTCTCTCATAATCCTTAATACAAAATAAAAGGATTTTTTTTTTAATGTGCCAATCTTTCATGGAAAACCAAGTGTCATTTTAATGGCATTGCTAATTTCTTGTTAGTAACCAATAATTAGAAACCCTAATTATTCAAGGTTGCTTTTTTCTACACTTTCTAAATTCTGGATGTTTATTATGAGTTTTCTCCTTAGTAAAATTTTGTGTAAAAGTGTTTTCTTGCCTTTGATATGTTTTTTAACTTTTTATAAGTTTTTTGCCCCTCAAATTCTGTTCAGAATTCTCAAGGCCATTTTCTTCTCCAGGGTGAATCTATGCAGAAGCAGGAACTCAACTGCATATGAAAAAGGTTGAGGGCAAAACCTGACCTCAAATTTTGATTTTGTTCAAAACCAAAACCCAGGTGAGAAGACTGTATTTTCTAGCACTCAGTCAAAAATGAGAAGTATTGAGAAATCTAAGTTACTCAGGCACAGCTGAGAAGTTCACAGTGCAGTCAAGAAGGATAATGAAGTTTTCAGGTCTGTGGGTTTAAACCCAGGCAATTTAAATGAATGTTGCTTAAACTGGTCATCTTCTATGGAAATATGCTCTGTAGCCTCTTCAAAATGAAGACTAGCTGGCTTATCAGATTTTCTAGTAGATACCCATCTACAGAACAAGTAAAGTTCTTTTCTCAACCAAAAATTCAGGCAAATAGGACATATTTGCAGTAGGGAAGGGTTCAAAGTCTTGTGCTTTGGTTGAACTGGAGATGTTTACCTGTTCACAACAGGCCTGAATTGCAGCAGTCCTAAGCTGTTAAAAACTATTATCACAGCTGGCTGCAGATGTCTGAAGTATCCAAGAGTTTATGCCACTAAACCTCATGCCACAAGTACACCTTGGTAGAATTTGGGTTGGAGCTTAAAAGCAACTGATAAACTGAAATAATTAAATCATGCTAGGGAAATCAGGATTCAAAATAACTCCATTCATCGGGATTAACACTGTCTGGCACTGTGCAGACTGGGTAACAACTATTCCATATTTATTGTCTGAATAGTATCTGAATTAACTCCTGCATTAGAAATTTTATTCCCTGAGTTTGATCAAGCTGAAATTGCATGTATATGCTTCACATTTTGATTGTGTGCATTAGGCATTCACTTTTCAGGCAGTCAGGCACATCAGAGCGCTCACAGATCAATTCAGATATGACGAGAAAAACATCAGCTCTTGGGTAACCCAAACCTGTCCCAGCCAGGTATCTCTTCCTTCCAGGCTCACTGTATCATGTTTCTATGCAAAAGTCAACATCCTTCCTGGAATGCTTTCCCTTAGGGGGAAGAGCCAAGGGGAAAAACCAGGGAACTTACCTTTGAGACAGTGGTATGCCTTTGATACATTGATCCTAAGGACAGTGCTGAGACATCCTCAAGAATTTAATGGTTTTGGAGCCTGAATTCCAGCTTGCCAGTGCTGGAATTCTTTCAGTGCTAAAACCATGGAAAGTTTGTTTTCAAGTTTGTTGGGTTTTTTTTGTGGGCATTTTTTTGTTTTGTTTTTTGTGGGATTTTTTGGTTTGTTGTTGTTGTTATTGGTTTGTTTTTTATTTTTTGGAGTTTTTTTCCTGGCAGTGAAAATGCTGGTTTAGTGTTTTTCATTTGTTTGGAAAGAACAAGAATTAGTCCTCTTCTCTGTAGTCATGTGCTCACCTACACTACACCAGCATGAAGTCAGTAAATGATGATGGTATTAAAAACTGAATCCATTTCTTTTCCTGTGTTTGGATCATCTGTGGATTATAACCCTGCAGCTGCACTGAGCCCCCAAAAGTCCATAAAGCTGCGCTTAGTGTTTCCACATGTAGTCTGATTGCAGGGACACATTAAATACAAATATATTAAAAAGAAGGATTCAAGAGCAGGCCTGATACTCTTCCCTGTAAGTCTGGAATATAACCACATTTTTTTAATGTTATTCTAGCTGTATTAATATAACTAAAAAAATAATTTTAATCAGAGTATAAAGTCTATCCTAAAATCTTCATTTATTTATGAGTAATGTTATAAAACAAGTTGTATTTACCCTGGAATGTCTTTAAACTTGTTGAAACTGTAAAATCCAATTAATGTTGTCTCTTCTTTGCTTCAGTCCATTCAAAAACCAGTGTATAAGTCTTCCAAATACTGACAGAAGCGTTTGTTAGCTTCATAGAAAACATCCAAACAGTTCATGGAATTTATGCCTTGGGGAAGCATTTGTTTTTCTTGTTTGGTCAATTAAACACTGCCTTTCTTAAGGGAGGGTGTATTGTAACATCAGGCATGATAATAAACAGAAACACCAACGGGTTGCTGCAAAAAGTTTGGGTTGATGTCAGGGTTCCAGTTATGCCTTTGGAAAGCTCAGCGAAGGGGTAATGCAAACTGAGGAGTCTTCTGCAGAATTTTGCTTGAGATTATTCAAACTGAATCACTCCAAGCTTCTTACAAAGCTGATGGTGCTCTAGTGGCAAGAAGTGAAAAAAAAAATAAAAATAAGCTACGTGATTATTTTTTCAAAGTGAGCAAAGGGAATTTTAAGCACAAATGCTGAAGAAGTTATCATGGTGCCATCAAAAACATTGGGAAAGCTTTTCTGCTGAAAAGGAATAGATATACAAAGCATACAAATTCTTGAGCTGGATAGAGGCTTAGAAAGTGCTGATTCAACACAGAACACAATGATTTCACCAACATCTTTACAAAAAAATTTGCTTTATTTCAATGCATTTACAATGCATGATGTTCACTTTAAGTTTTATTTTTATGCTTACATTCAGATTTATCTTTTTCTTTGTAACATTATAATAGGTCAAAATTATATGAAGCAGCAGTGAAGCATTTTTACAACTATGAAGTGAGTAATTAATGCTGAATTATTACAATCTCACACAAATTCAAGGATTACAGATTCTGAAGCCTTGGACTTTCCCATGAAGTGGTCTCAGGTGGGAAATCATCAAATTGTAGAGGGTGTGTCCTTTCATTGGTTCCATTTACAGGTACTGCCTTCACAGTAACAGGCACAAAGCTGAGCCAGCACTTGCTCTTTCCAGGAGCTCTGGTTGTAGAATTGCACTCAAGAAGCTCTCTCCTGTTCCTCTGTCTTTTTGGTGTGCCACCAGTGATTTAAAATTAAATACAAAGTGTATTCTTCAAAATTTCAAAATAGCTGTTGGTGAACTTCCTCCTCTGATTTTGTACCTACCTTCCCTCTGCCTACTCTCTCCCTCCCAAACAGATTATGTTAAGGATGACTCTGGAAGAGGAGATGGCTGGAAAAACACAAGAAGCACACACATCTGTGCTCTCTCTCTCCCCCCACTGGGTTGCTGAGCACACATAGAAACCCCAGACTGCAGTCCCCAGCAGGCCTGTGACAAACCACAAGCAGGACATGTTAACTGTGATTCTCTCACAAAGTCCTTTTTAGGCTACACCAGCAGATTTTACTCTTCTTCCTTCTCCAGGTTGCTGTGGGAGTGTAACTGATGCACTTCATTAGGGTTTGAAATTGTGTGAGTAATCCTATTGTTTCTATCACTCTGTGTAAAGTGTGTATAATCACCCTGCTTCTTCATGATGGAATGAGTAACCTCTTTTTATGACAAACTTTTTCCATATTCCCTATTTTTTGCTCTTCAGCTTGTGATTCTACTCCTGTAGCTTTGGATAGATTCAGGTGAGGGAGTAGGTGGGGGGGAAGGGGGGGGAAGAAGGAGGGATGCAAAGGGAGAAAAAAAGGACTTTTCCTTCTCTCACCTGTAGGCCTGATGGACTGGAAATCAGATGACAAACCAGAGGAAATCCCACAGGCTGTGGCTGCTGAGGGTTGTTGGTGTGGATGTGGCAATGAAAGTGCCTTGTCCTGCTCCCAGCAAATGGAAGTGGTGGTTTGGTGAGGGTGTCACTATCCCAGGGATGTTTTCCATTCTCACTCTGCCAGAGCTGCTCCTGCTGATGCAGCTGAACTGAGATGGGAAACCAGGAGCCAAGAAATCAAGCATAGGCAAGATCCAGAGTTTGCTTACAAGAAAGTTCTTTTGACACCTCTGTGAAGAAGAATCTGGAAATCAAAAACTTGAGCTGGTTCTGGGCACAAGCATAATATTGCTCCTTACTGATGTCTAGCAGTTACCTAAAAGACTGAATATATAACTTGGCTTTTCAGGTGATACATTTGTTTTCCTCGTGCTTCACAAGCCCTGTTCTTGCTGCTGCTCAGGATTCAGAAATGCCATCACATCCAGCAGTTTGTAGTGCTTTCCCCAGTGTGTTGCTGTGTTCAGCTCCCTCAGACAGTCACACTGGGCTCTACAGTCACACGTGTTTTGCAATATTCCTCTGCCACTCATTTCCATCAGCGCTGTCTCTGCTGCGAAGTTTTGTCACAGGACAAGATGGACAGCGTTGTTCAGAGCATTTCCCAGAGGCTCAATAAGACTTTTTGTTTCTGAAGTCAAGGGTTTGTTAAACTTCCTGGGAATGAGACAGTCCCCACCCTCTTGGAAGATCAGGAGAAGCAGGTCCAAGGAAGAAAGGAGATTAAACACCAGCTACTGGATTGATGGACCCCTTTGCTTTACTTCCTTCATAATATATGGACATAAACCAAAATCTTCCATCTCACGCTTTGACATTTCTGGCAAACATAAAATACAGACCAATAGAAAAACAAAAGTAGCACATACCAGGAATCAGTTCCACAAACCCAACTTTGTTTTACTTTGCTGCCACAAAACCCTTATCCCCATATTGTTAAAATAATTCCTTCTCTTCCCTCCTACATTTAAGTTCAGCTCCCTTGATAGATAGTCCATTCCTTTTTAGTGTCTACTGTCTTTGTGGTAACATTTTTATTTGCTGGATGAAAGGGTAGGAAACCCACTGGTGATTTTCCTTTGCTGTTTATTTTATGCAGAATTTCCTCAGATGCTCCAGCGTGGGTATCTGGGGATCTTTTCTTCTGTAGTACCCAGCATGGAAGAGTCTTGAACCCTGTTACACATACAGTAAATACTCAGCATTAGCAACATATCAATGCTTAGTTGTCCTTAAATAATTGTTGTTGCCACTGGCTGGAAAACAGAATAAATGGGAGGGGAGGGATACCCTGGGCAAGTATTGATTGCTGTTCCAAGATATTGCCAAAAAATGAGATCCACAGAAACTACAGTAAAACATTACAGTACAAGTTGGTGAGATACCGTGTTCTGAATTGTTTTCAACTTTGCTGATAATATTATTGATCTTCTATATCCAAGGGGACTTGGTTTCCTAAGTATTTTCATTACAGCTTCTGGCTCACCTACAAGCACACTAAACCAAGAATACTTTGTCTGGGGAAGTAAGTGGTCTCTGGTCTGCCTTGCCCTTGAATTGAATCTGACTTCTAAGAGACTTCCTCAGCCCTGATGTCGTCAGCAGAGCACAGTGTTATGTTGGAACATGAGGAAAATATTAGATCATGGAAAATAACTTACTCTAATTCTTTCATCCTAGGTTATTGTTCTTTTAGAGTCATAACAAATTAGGAAGACTATGTAGAGCAGGGAAAAAGAAGAAAAACACCTTACCCCAAAAAACCCCCATGGAAGAAAGCAGACCCTGGCTCATGATGTCTTTGCCTTGTGTTCTGATGTGCCCCTACTCTTGTCCCTTTAATATGCATCATGTATTTTTCAGAATGTGCTCTCCACTGTTGTGCATGGAGCTGTGAGTTACAGATGTTAATAGGATGTGGTAGAAATTAGTTTTGAAATTTCTGGTGAAGCAGATTTTTCTGGATACAGTCACAGGCTGGTGAAATGATCCACAAGTGGTGCTGAATGTCTGTGATTTCACTGTTTTGAAAATATACATCCCAGGAGTGGGGCTGATTGAAACAGCTGCAAAAAATGGCACTTTTATTTTAAGTGTTAAGGAGAGATGACAAAGGGCATTTTCTGCAAACTGAGGCTAGTGAACATGTTGATCACTGTTCTGATACCCTGGCAGTGGCTGCCACACGAGTGAATCCCGAGACTGAGGACAGGTTGGGGCAGTTTCCCAGCTGCCCTCAGACAGATGGAGGAATGGATGGGTGCCAGACTTCTCTGTGTTTTCTCTACAGGTTTTATGTGACCCAGCAGAGCACTACTGAAACAGCAGGTCCTGTACCACTCATGTAGTAAAAGCTAATGGGTTTGTTGGTGAAATTTTTAGGTTTTCTGTGTGCAGTTGTAAGCATCCCATTTATCTAACAGCTGTGCTATTGTTGTTTATGACCACTGACTTGAATGAGTTACCAGGAGCTCTTCAGAAGGGGCTCTTTGCTGCCTGTGGCTGTTTTTATCTATGCTCTTGTGTCCCTCAAAAAGAGCTGGGCTTTAAAAAGGTGTGACTCAGCACAGTTGTGTCATGTCATTTATTATTATTCTTGCAGAGAGCCTGGGGTATTACCTCAACACAATTATGAAACAGGGCCCTATTGTGGTTAGCCCTGTACACAAATATGCTGAAGGGTAGTGCTGCTATAAAATGAACAGTACAATGAGAAATACCAGCTAGAGACACTAAAATGAGTGCAGAAAAACAAGATAATGTTTTAGCCATCAGTGACTGGGTTAGTCTGCAACTGCCTCAGCTGAGAACATACGATTTCTAGCTTGTAAAAGGCTCCTTAAAAAAAGACAAACATAAACTTTAAACCATATTTGTGAGCCAAACAGAAGCAAAGGTTTTGAAGTGGTGAAGCAATTGAAAGAAAAAATGTTTGCAGAGTGATTAAAATAGGGTACTAGCAAAACCTGGGATCTCATGGTCCTTGCTGCTGAAGAATGAATCTTTCTGTGGCTGGTGGTTGTGCTCCCAGTCCTGTCCTTCCCTGGCACCACACTTTTGGAAACTGCTTCATGGCAGGACTGAGAGTGTGCTGGGCCTCAGACCAGCTGGCTCAGACATTGTCCACTGCTCCAGAGAGGATTCCAGAATCCAGCTTTGGTCCCACAGGAAAGCACTGGATCACCCAAAGAGATCCTATTAAAATAAAGTTTCCAGAAATTTCCAATCTCTCTGCTGCAGAGCTTGAGCTCAATTAGATCAAGAGCTTCAGGACCTTTGCTTTGTCTCAATGGATGACTAACACTTCCTGGGAGTCTGGTTTGTCTCTCACTGCCAATGAAGTTTTCCTCTAGGAGAAGTCTGATGAGTCGTGGTGGGATGACTCTGGCTGGATAACAGATGCCCACCAAAGGCACCCTATCACTCCTATCCTCAGCTTGACAGGGGAAAGAAAACACAACACAAGGTTCATGGGTAGAGATAAGGACAGGGAGAGATCACAGGCATTACCATCATGGGCAGAGGAGACTTCATGTGAGAAAATCAGATTAATTTATTACCAATAAAAGCAGAGCGACTTAATGAGAAATGAAAAGCATACCTTAAAATACCATTTCCCCTCCCTTCCCTTCCTCCAGGGCTCAACTTCACTCCCATTTCTCCACCTCCTACCCCTCAGCAGCACTAGGGGACAGGGAATAGGGGCTGCAGTCAGTTCATCACTTGTCTCTGCTGCTCCTTCCTCCTCAGGGGGAGGACTCCTCACACCTTTCCCCTGTTCTAGTGTGGGGTCAGATACAGGGGAAGCTTCCAGCAGCTTCTCACAGAAGAAACCCTGTAATTTCCAAAACCTTGTCTCCTAGTCCCAGTACAAAGAACCATAGAATGGTTTGGGTTGGGAGGGGCCTTCAAGATCATCTAGTCCAGCTTCCCTAAGAGGAGCAGGGACACCTTCTAGTAGGACACCTCTAATCATGAAATGTTTAGTAGGTCCTGTGGCTGAAAAATGCATCTGATTTTAGGGAAGCTTTGAATGGGCAGCAGTGATTCAATCAATTCTCCTTTGCATATTTCCATGGCAGCTCCGTCAAGACTGAAATGCATTTTCATATCTCTGAATAGTATAATACCTATTCACATTGACCCAAGAACACACTGAACTTCTGAGTAAACACTGTTTTTCCCTGTGGCTATGGTTTCTTCCTGCCACCTCTCTTCAGGAGTTCTAGGGCCCAGGCCTTACTGCTGCTGCTACATTAATTTGTTCAGCTGAAATCTGTAAGGCCATGGCAAGTGACCATTGCAACTGAGTATCTGTCCCATGGATTGTTTTCTTCTCTGATTAAAAACTCAGGCAAATTCTTCTCCTTCCCTAATTTCCCAAAGTCCCATGATCAAGTCTGTTTACCTGCACACCAGTTCCACATGAGCAGCTTGGGGTGACACAGAACTGCTCTATGGCACGTTCAGCTGGGGATATTGCAGTGATGTCATTTAGCACCTCCCTCTGAAGTCCCCCTGAAAACAGAAATAAAAGTTTCTCTGTCTCTCAGGACAGGTTCTGAGCTACAGCAGGTCAGTGGTGTCCAGTCCAAGTGAAGATTGCTTCAAACTATCAGCCCCCACTGGTCCGTGTAGGAACTCCACACGTTTTTGTTTATTTTACCAGGTAGGGAGGTGAACAAAGCACACAGCAAATATTGTATGGTCATCTCTGCAGCCTTAGAATGAGTATTTAACCTGGGGGGAGGAGAAAAAGCACATAAGATAATTTGTGTGTGTTGGGAGGGGAGGTAATTTTTAAGCCAAAAAAATATGGTGTTTGGAAATAACTGTTTGATTCACGTGGTTTTCTAGAACTGGAGGAAGAATGTGTATTGTTTGAATCAAGTAGAGTCTTTGGGGAGCCATTCTGAAAATAAAAAAATGACATGATTAATATGAGCATTCTCTAATTGTCTACCCATAAGACTAAAGAATATTTTTTTCCCTACTAAGCCATGCACAAGTTTTTGGGCTGAATGTCTGCTTTTGGGAGACTGACAATGCCAAAGGTATAGGCTGGCTACCATTTTCTCTGCAGCTGATACATCTGGATGTATCAGTCAAAGAGCATATTGTGAAAATAGTAACACTTTAAAATAAGACTAATCACTGAGAGAAATAATTCATGCCATGACATAAAATAATTTCAGGTAGTTCAGGAAGTGGCATCTATGCTGTAGCCAGCTTGTCTATCCTCAGTTGTGGAGTTTCTTTTCAGTTGATAATGTCATTGAAATAGCTGAGCCTCAGCTCCAGATACCTTGACTTTCCAGTTTCTGCTCATTTTAATACTGGCTGATTCCCCTGGATTCCCTACTCTCCTTATCAATAATACATTGAAAAAATAACAAAATACTATGAAGCACTGCCATGTCTGTGGAATCTAGAATATTGGATTTTTTGCCTGGAGTGTCCAGCAAGATTAATTATTCTGATAACAGCAGGGTTAATCCATTCATCACATACAGTGAAAAAGGCACTGTTAGCATTCAGACTGAGTTATTCTTGGTCTTGAGAGGTGCAACTGGCAGAACTGGCATTTAGAGGGCATTTGTGCCTTTAAAATGCCACATTCCCAGTTACCTTCTCCTTGGGCCAGATTCTTGCTGCAGGGCTGGTTGTTACCATAGGGGCAGGAGGCAGTGCTGTGCACGGCTGTGTAGGTACAAATGTTTGGCAGAACCCTCCAATGTTAGGTGGAGGGTATAATTACCCTGTCATTTAACATTAAAAAGAAAAAAAAAGAAAAAGAAAAAATAGAAGAAAAAGAAAAGAAAGAGAGAGAAAGAGAAAGAGAGAAAGAAAGAGAGAAAGAGGGAAAGAGAGAAAGAAAGAGAGAGAGAGAGAAAGGGAAAGAGAGAAAGAAAGAGAGAAAGGGAAAGAGAGAGAGAGAAAGAGAGAGAGAGAAAGAGAGAAAGAGAGAGAGAGAAAGAGAGAAAGAGAGAAAGAGAGAGAGAGAAAGAGAGAAAGAGGGAAAGAGAGAAAGAGAGAAAGAGGGAAAGAGAGAAAGAAAGAGAGAAAGAAAGAGAGAAAGAAAGAAAGAGAGAAAGAAAGAAAGAGAGAAAGAAAGAAAGAAAGAAAGAAAGAAAGAAAGAAAGAAAGAAAGAAAGAAAGAAAGAAAGAAAGAAAGAAAGAAAGAAAGAAAGAAAGAAAGAAAGAAAGAAAGAGAGAAAGAAAGAAAGAAAGAAAGAAAGAAAGAAAGAGAGAAAGAAAGAGAGAAAGAAAGAGAGAAAGAGGGAAAGAGAGAGAGAAAGAGAGAGAGAAAGAGAGAGAGAAAGAGAGAGAGAAAGAGAGAGAGAAAGAGAGAAAGAGAGAAAGAGAGAAAGAGAGAAAGAGAGAAAGAGAGAAAGAAAGAGAGAAAGAAAGAGAGAAGAAAGAAAGAAAGAAAGAAAGAAAGAAAGAAAGAAAGAAAGAAAGAAAGAAAGAAAGAAAGAAAGAAAGAAAGAAAGAAAGAAAGAAAGAAAGAAAAAGAAAGAAAGAAAGAAAGAAAGGCTTTGTTTTTCTGATTGCCTCAGTTCCTGCTTTCCTAAGGTGAGATTGCCAAGAACTGTTGCATGTTTTTTTGAGCTAATTTGAGGTCAGACAGTGAATCAAAATCAATTCTTGATTTTTATCAAGTGTGAGCTGCAGCCAAAGGGTCTGATTTGGGAAGAGGGTGAGCATCCATGCTGGCATCCTGCTCTCATGCTGCTTCCAGCTGCCAGCATCTTCTGTGCTGCCCTCCACATTCCTGCACTTCCTTTGAACTATGGAACTCAGGGGCAGGATTCTTTCAGTTCAAACCCCTCATGTTCAGAAAACTTACTCTGTTTTGGTATAGGGAAAGGAAAAGAAAGTTAGATCTCTGGAATGTGCCCTCATTAAAATGAGGCAGGTAACTGGCCGGCTGCATGACTGGAACTCGTCTCAGCTCATGCACTTGTAACTGAAACAACTCAACTTTCCAGAACTCTCTAAATGGATTGCTTTCAGTCGGAACAGTACACAGACATTATAAAACCTGCAATTACTTTTACTGTAGGGCCATAAAATATAGATCTGTTAAAGTCTGGATGCAGAACACACGGACATCCTACAGTTCCGACCAGCACAGATGAAAGTCTATT